GTGGTGGTGTGTACGTATGTTGGTAATCGTTTGTGTGTCAGCGTGTGTTTAGGCTACAGTCTCATCTCCAAAGTAGGAGAATCCTTTAAACTCATCTTGGTTGATCTGCTTGATGATGCTGTTGTCCACCGGTGTCAGGACTGGTTCTTCACGTGTAAAGTCCTGATCAAAGTTATTCACATCCCTTTTGGTTTTCTGGAAGACAAAGAAGATTTAAGTGTAAGTTCCTGAAGAGCGTCTGTTTTTTAGTCACTGTAAAACCAGCCTTATTAGAGAGAATTTTTATTTTCAGTAAACACAATTTTTCACAGTTGGTTATGTGTGTGTGAACTTACGATGCGTGGTTTGAATGGCGGTCTGATTTTCCTCTGCTCCAGCAGTGTCCAGTCGATGTCTCTGAAGAAGGGATGGAGCTTAATGGCCTCCTCCAGACCCTGAGCCACCACACAGCCCAGACGCTTGTTAGGACTCTTAGTCATGAACTGAGAAGCAGAAACAGCAAGTAAAGAAAAGGATAGAGAGAGGATAGAGAGAGGAATTGTTTTATTTTTCCTCATAAGGTTACCTCATTTATTCAAGTTGCACATATATTTGTGTCTTTATATCTTTTTGTATTTATTTAATGTAATGTATGTGTCTATATATTGGTGAAGCCCTCCTTTTCGTTTACATATGCGTGCACATTGTGTTTAATGACAATAAAACATAAGGCCTGGGATTTTACATTATGGAACACATGGAGATCTGAAGCAATATTGTTTTTTCACAATGGCTTTATAAAAGGAAGAAAAGAAAAGTGTCATGACGCAAACATCAGTTTTATCCAATCTGCTGACTCTAATTGTGGTCAGGTAAATAAATCATTTTGTTCAGCTAAAATAGATCCTTTTATACGTGTCCTCTGTAGACAACAGCAGCTCATACACAGAGGAAGAGAAAATTTCACACAATCACCACAAGAGACCAGAAATAGATTGAATGAGTGTCCACAGCCTGTTTAGAAGGAACCTGTGCTTCATCAAAGAAAAATAAACTAAAAAAAAAATCCACTTTCAAGTTCAAAGGAGAAAAGGACAACATACACTGCTGTATGACGTGCATCAAAACACACATATCTATTGTTTTATAAGTAAGCCCACACTTTGTATGAATGTGTCAGGATACACCGCTGTCCTATTTCCCAGCGGTGATGTGTGGCAACAGAAGTGGCACATCCCAGCTACTGTTTGTAAGGCAACAGAACTCAATTGATACAATTCTCACTCTACTAAATTTTCATTGAATAAACTCAATTCAGTTCTGAAAATTCAAAAGTTCAAATCCCTTATTTAATGTATCTAGGCTTACAATTTTTGGTATAAAGTTCTAAATGACTCAAACCTTTTTGGATTTGTAATCCGCTTTTGTTGGCTGAGGGTGGTTTTGAGTGGTACCCTTATTAATATTCCCAACCTATAGATACAGAAGATAAATGTATATCTGACAGGAATAACGTAGAGCCCACCTACTTTAAAAAAATTTCATATGTGATCAGTGAGATTGTTTCATCAGAGAGAGACTCTGTTGGTCTTGTTAAACTATAAAAACAGATGTTAATGAGGGGTACTTCTTTCTCTAACAAACTATCTCTGGTTAAGTACAATTCCCCAATCCCTAAGGTACTTTAAATATAGGTTGAGTTCCGGTCTCACTACAACCTAATTCTTACAGGCAATTACACACCGTCAAATTACATTCATGAAAAGGACTTGTTGTTTTTACTACTTACTTCTTCAAGTTGTCACCATTAGTAACTGTTTTTTTTTAAGTTATTTTTTTGGCCTTTTCATGGCTTTATTGGATAGTGACAGCTGTAGAGACACAGGAAAGGTGGGTAGAGAGAGAGGATGACACGCAGCAAAGGGCCGCAGGTCGGATTCGCACACGGGCCGCTGCAGCAACTCTGTATATGGGTCGCCAGCTCTACCGACTGAGCTAAGCGGGAGCCCACCATTAGTCACTTTGACAAAAAAATACGGTAAAGACACAGGTGCAGGCCCAGTTCAGGTCACAATTCTAAACCCATGCAGAACTCTAAAGACACTGACTTGCGGCGTTAGCAGTAATGTTGCATTTATGTACAAAATGGCAACATTCAATCAGTTACTGTTTGACTGAAATGGAGATCCTTGGTCTCATAAACACCCAATTAACAATATATAAACCAGTTCAGAATTGTCTCACCATATCGAAACAATAGAGCCACTATAAAATGCCTCCTTCACTTTAAATTTTCTTCAGGATTTTCTCAAATAATTGAAAACTGGATGAGTGGTAAACAGGCTGCTCAGCCATTAGACTTAGCTGAGAGAATTTATCATGTGACTTGGAGTCCTTCAGCTGGATGACATGTCCAATCAGAGCCCACAGCACTGGTCAAGTGACTGGTCAGAGTCCAAGACATTGTCCAACATAAACACACACATTTTCCCACAAGGCTTTGCAGTCAAACTGCACTAACAGCCAAGGTAAACTCAAGGCTTGTGATGGAAAAACTGGACAACCAAATAAACGAACAGACAAGTGGCATTACATACACACACACACACACACACACACACACACAACCAAGACATGGAATCAAACATATCCTTACATGTGACAGTGACAAGGCCAGAGCGGATGGAGAAAGCAAAAGCAAAGAAACATGGACTGACACATAAATGGAAAGACCTTGGGCCGGATATCATTTGAAAATCTTCATAATGGGCCAGTTTCATTGCACACATTTTTTTTTTATGAAAACATTTAAAGCAAATACAAAATAACGAAATAAAGAACTAGGACTTCACATGGTCTAGGGGAAAAGAGGCCCTGGAAAACACATTTTTGTTTGTTGTAGAGTTGACACTGGGGGATATCTGAAAAGCCTGAGGAACAGTAGATGCTATAGGAATAGGAATCAGCTCTAGAGATATTTAAGCAAATGGGTCCAAGAGTGTGGGTCTATCTTGCTTGTTGCAATAAGTTTTTCTAATGGTATTGATGTTGAAGACTCCTTTGCAATAATGAGAGCTAGAACAAGTAGCAGCGAGATGAGTTTGCAGGTCTGTTCCTCACTAAGAGTGCAGAAATGTCACCAGTGATCAATCATGATGTGCAAATTGTTGATTTTTGTCTTGTGGTAGTATGGATATTTTTCGGAATGCCCACAAACTGTACCACCATTCAACTGTAACCTATCTCAGGCCAACCAGTTCCAAAAATCAGCCTTCCTGTGTGAAAGCCTTGACATTTACATTACATGCAGATTTTTGCTGCTTGCTGAGACATAGCACAAACTCTCACACCTCCCGCTAACTGACCGCTTTAAGAATGGACACAGCCTCCTTGCTGAGCCAGACAGGGTAGAGGACATCGTCATGGAGGATGGACTCAAATAGGTCATCTTCGTTATCGGCTTCAAATGGTGGCTGGCCTGCCATCATCTCATACATCAGCACCCCCAGAGCCCACCAGTCCACTGACGGGCCATAATCCAACTCTTGAAGGATCTGGTCACAAATAAAAATTTACCAAAAGAGACATACAAAAAAGCCAGAATCAAACACCATAATCAAAATCACACCTAAATTCTGAGCATACGTAAAATTATGGGAGTGAAATATGAGCAAGCCTATGTAATTTTGGGGGCTGAAGCATTTTTGACATTGATTGATAAGGCTTCTGTGACAAGCCCTTACCACCTTCTTTCATCTCTACCTCAGCAATGATAAATAGAGCATCATCAGCAAACAGTCGAACGTGGACTTTTTATCTTTACAATTAAATATGTATATCTTGTGTGTATGTGGGTGTGGACATGTGTGTGTCTGAATTTGTCACCTCTGGTGCGATGTAATCTGGTGTCCCACAGAAGGTGGTGGTGGTGACTCCATTGAGGATTCCCTCCTTGCACATCCCAAAGTCTGCCAGCTTACAGTGACCCTCCGCATCCAACAGTATGTTGTCCAGCTTCAAGTCTCTGCACAGCAGAAGGGTTGTACAGGTGAAAAGAAGGATTAGCAAAGGGAAATTTGGCAAAATACAATATATACACAGTTATTAGAAATTGTAAGACTTGACACAAATAAACATCTTAGCTTGGGCTTTTTGAACAATTAATTTCAAATGTTTCAGCTTATTTTAGTTACATCTCTTGCAATGTAATGTCTGATTCCCCAACATAATTACATATTATAGAAAAAGATTTTTACAGCCTCACAGGGTTTTTTATGATTTAAGAGTAAGTGAACCTGTCTCTGAGAAGGGGAATAAATATACAGGAGGATGGGAAGAGGAACAGACATGGGAAAAGAGAACATTGAGGGTTGAATGAGAGAAAGAGATGTAAGGAAGGGGAGAGAGTGAGAGAGCAGTGTAGCAGATAAAAGCAGTAGTGTTGAGAGATGACAGGGTTGGTCATGAATGCAGCCGCTCTGGGCTTGATGGTTGATTGCTAGAAAAATGTCAACATCTCCTCCATGTAGCCAATGCAACCATTCAGCCCGAGGTGTTTTCAAAAATACAGCCACCCTGACAAGCCAGGGAGGAGATGGAGCATGTGTGTGTGCGTGTTTCTGGAGTCAAGAGCTTATGCAACTGTTCTGTTTTTGCAAGCCCCAAAAATAAAAAGGCAGCTTAACGATCCTGTTTGAGAGCTACTGTGATTTGCTGCTGAATAGTATGTTCTTTTCTGTCCCATCATGCCCTGCTCTGTTATTTATTGCACTATAGAAAAGCTGAGTTGGGTAAGTATATTCTGGCACCCTCAGCTTAGTGAATTTCTATTGGACAAGTTGTGGTAAATTTGAGCTTAAACTTGAACATGTTTGCCTTGCAAATTATATTTTTTAAATCAGGTAAAATTTTACTTGGTATAACAATGTAAAGTATACACCCCATATTCACATCATTTTTGTTCATATGATTACTAAAAAATTTCAATTATATTCAGTATTTGGTTGAGTGATCTGTATCTCGTAAAAAGCTAAACCATGAATGGTATGCTAATTACAAGTTTTAAGAAAAATGATGACATGTCAGAATCAGTGGAGCTTGACAGTTTTTATTTAGTGGTTCAAGTTTGGGTCAGTTTATGGTGACTAAAAATACTTAACATTTTGAACAATCTTGCGTATAAGAGCCTTTGTGCTCACAAAAGGCCAACCCTTTAGAAGGCTAAACGTCACTTAAGACATGAAACAGAGTATATATAGATGGGTCACTAATTAAAGGCAAAACCTCAATAAATGAGTAGAGAGACATTATGAATGCAGATGCTTCCACACAGGTGCAATGGTACAATTACGATTTTAACATCCAATCATGCTTTGTGGTATGTATTGAAATACTGAGCTGGCCTAGTTGATTCTGATTTTGTCAGAGGAATGTTAAAGTAAAGCTGCAGTATATAAACCCTGCATTACAAAGATGAATTTACATTTGAAAGTTCAGTGATGCAATGCTCCTGATGGGAGTGGTCTCTTACAGGATGACAATGTTTCCATCCATAGGGCACGAGGGCTGACTGAATGGTTTAATGAGTATGGAAATCATGTGAATCATATGCTGTGGCATTTGCAGTCACTACATCTACACCCAAATGAACACTTATGGATTACCATGGATATGTTTGCTGAACCATGTTTGGTTTTTCCCTTGCATTTATTTGAACTCTGCACAAAATCCAAAACTTTCATCACTCTTCTCTCTTCAGAACAACCACAGTTCTGTGCTGTTGAGCAGCTGGGGACTGTGCCTTGCTAAAAGGCTTCTGTTCAGGCAGGAAAGAGCTGCACTTGTTCTCTGCTTCCCCAGACAAAAAATTAAACTGGCGACCCTGTAGCTGCCTGTTTGCATATCTCGCCTCCAGGCGACTCCAAGCACATTAAATCTGTATTGCATGCCTGCAGCAGGGCAGAAAAATAGCATATGAATTTAATTCATTTTTGAATGAATTTAAATGCCTACTGACATTAATCTTTGCATTACACATCACCTTGCTGCAGGAAAATCCAATATTAAGTGGCTGCAGGTGTTTGGTCGGACTAATGGAATGATATTTATTTATGTGAAGATGTTTTGTGGGATGAGAAGCGTGTCAACAGGAGCTAATAATCTTTGTTACATAGCAGGAAATGGGCAATATTTTGATAATGTTGTCTCTGTCTTACATAATGTATTCAGTTATTGCAGAATAATTGAATCAGTTTTCTTTGCTTTCATTCTTTGCAAAAATCTTACTGCTATTAAGCTATGTATTCCAGTCTTTTTATCAATATGATTATTTGCTGTGTTATGGCTGTTAAGCCTTATGAATGTTAATGAATAAACAGGGTACTTGAATTGGAATTAAAAAAGGTTGCTGTGCTCCGAACTGTTTTGTCTGGTTTATTAAGATGAATGATGAGTAAGGGGTGTGATTATATTAGTTTTTCATTTCCAGGTGCAATTCTCTTTGTATGCAAAAACAAAACAAATTTTAGATTAAAAATATATTTCCTATTTTATTAACTCATGGGATTGCTCATTTTGTTCCGATACTGCATTGGTCAAGTTTACTATTTAGTCGGAAAAATATTCTTGTCAGTCTTCAAAAACATATACCATAATGACGTATTAATTTATGTCATAAAAAGTTTGGACAAAAGCTAAGATACATGAGTTCACAAGCGTGTAACTTCCAATTTACTACAGTAGTGCAACCACTTGGAGTTATTTTAGAAGGTGGACAGAAAATGTCAAAAACATGTTGTAGCATTTCAGAAAGCGATTTAAGTAAACCTTCAATTAGAAAATACACACTATCATATAGCTTGATAGACTGGCAAAGAAACCGGTGCATGGTGTCTCTTGCCTCGCACTCTAAAAATGTTTGAATACAAGTGCCATGCCTCTGCAACCCTGAACTGGAAAATGTGGTTTAGCATGTTACAGTAAAACCCTGCTGACCCCAGATAGAGCATGCTGATAAAGGATACTTTATCAAAATCCAGGAAATCTTGGTGGTACAGATAATGACAAACAATTGGTTGTCAGACCACATGAAGACCTTGAGTCAATACACTCTGGTCTGCATATTGCCCTAGCTCAAATAATACATTTTATTACATTAATTCATCCATACACAGAGTGCCATATCTTTCCATTGTTATCTGCACCACTAGAAAATCTTTAATGCAAGATTTCCTGGATTTCTGGGTTTTTTTCTACCTTTACCTGCCGAACTAAAGAGCACCTTTGGGACCAACTATCAGAGCCATGCAGCACATCCTTCTTCCTCTTTTAAGAATACATACTATCAGTGTAGCATAAGATGATTTTAACAACTTTACATCTACTTGAGGTGGAAATAAAAGGGAGAAACTATAGATGATGAGGTGTTAGAAAGTGGTTTGTCCGATAGCTAATCTTGCTTAACAATGAAGCTCAACTACAAATAGGTCCATTCAAACACCAACATAAAGGTCGGGCTATATTCATGACATGTCATATGCTGCTCTAGTTTTACTGGAAAATACAGATAC